GTCTGTCTGTAAGCTCCAATGAAACCTGACCAACATGGGTGATTTTGCTGGTATTTGCAATACTGGTGGCATAGCTTCCAGCCTCATAGCAACATGCAAGCCACCACAGCACAAAAAACTGACAGACAAGTGGTGATAGGAGAGCATACAAGGGACAAAGTTCTACAAACTTCTTAGCCATAACCAAACATTTTGAGGGTATGAGTCACCGGGCTTGAGGACTTGGGACCACAGTCTCAGGGGGCATCTAGGTCAACTGGCATAACAAAGTTCTCAACAACAATGCTTTAAATCCTACTTTGGTGAGTAGCTATTGAGATCTTAAAAGCTTGCAAGTGGCCATCTAAGATGCAACTTTTGGTCTATCTTCACCAGGAGCAAAAAGTGAAGAGACTCAGATACTCAAGGAAATAATTAGTCCAAATGACTAATGGACCATGTGAACTACAGCATCCATTACCCTGAAACCAGAAGAACTATATAGTGTCCTGCTACCAATACAGAACACTCTACTCAGGATCACAAAAGAAGTTCCTAGACAAAGAGGGAGGAAAAAAAAAAAGTACAACAAAATTCTAAATTATAAAAATGACCAGGTTTACTAATCTGATATAGATTGGTGGAACCCCTGATACTATGGCTCTTAGACACCCTTTTAGCCTATAACTGAACCTACCCCCAGAAGATCAACTTTCACCTGAACAACACACAGGCCTACAAGATGAGTAATAACACCAGGGAGGAATGTACTCTCCAGGGCAGTCAAGCATGAGAAAAAATGGGTAGCATTTGTCTAAAAACAAAGCTCAGAAGGCAGGAAGAGGCAGGAAAGAAGGATGAATGGAAATAGGGAACCAAGGAAGTAAGCAGGAAGGGTGTTGTTACCTTGAATGGATTGTAACCAATATTACAAAACAAAACATGTATAAATTGTTCAATGGGAAACTAATTTGCTCTGTAAACTTTGACCTATACCACAATAAAAAGAAAAAACATGTCTTAGAATATAATTTTGCATGGAAATCACCAATACAGAAATTTCAACTAAGTAAAACTGAAAAACACCCAGAAGTAAGCCAGAAAAAGCCACTGAAAAGCAAAAAAAAAAAAAAAAAGAAAAAAAGTGTAGAAAAAAGAAGACATAAAAAGTTCACCTACCCAATTATAAAAACTTCGCAGCTCACCTACCCAATTACAAAG